GGGCAATTTCGGCGAGTATTTGCTGACAAGACAAGATACGGTACATAAACAAAAATATTTTTAGTACAGTTTCAAAGTATGTTTAATTTGGGTACCCGAATTACTGTGCACAAACATTTCAATACTTATTAAAAAATGAATAGGCATACTGATCAATTTTTAGTAACGCATCAGTGAATTAAGTATTCACGTATTCAAGTACCGTACCTGCATGATCATTTTTATATTTTTAATAAAACCAATTTCTTATAATTTTAAATAAATTTTCTCATATTTGTTATCATGCACTGACCTGTGCTATATGCGTGACAAATTTATGATCACGCATGTCTCTGCAAAATGTGTGTTTCATCCAAAATCACTTTGAAATGTGGGACCGTCTCAAATGATGTGAGATGGTTAGTGGCTACTACTGTATGTATTTACTAATTGGCATATGCCTGACTGAAGTTTAAAAATTAAGTAATTTACTCTCAGTAAACTCACTGGGCCTAATTTTAATTAAATAATTAATAATAAATGTATCATGTATTATTAATTATTTAATTAAAATTAATTAAATAATTAATAATAAATGTATCATGTATGTGTTGTTGTGAGTACCTTATTTGCTGTTGTGATTCATATGGGGATGCTTCTCCCATATCGTAGCCTGTTTGACCATACTGCTGCTGGTTGTCGTACGGCGATTCACCGTAGTTACTTGGGTAAAATCCTTGACTGTCCATGTTGGTCGCGCCTCCGCTACTCTGACACTTGCCAGGCTGGCGCGGCTCGGCTGCGTTGTTGATGTATTGTTAAGCTGCGAGGGAAGAGGGGCCTAGGCCTAGCTTCTTCTCTGCTATCAAATCTAAGAAAAATAAATGACAGACACGTTCAATATCACTTATGACTTAGCAATATTGAAAGTACTGTACTTCTCGAGCTATTGATTAAACTAATAATTTTAAGGTATTTCTCTAAAGCAACCATACAGAGGTGAGAATCGGTCCAGGTGGAAGTTTTGTGTACGTGGGTTGAATACCTAGATTGCTGGAAATATGTATATTTTGTCATTAATAAATAGAATCTAATCACCAACATGTATGTTTTAAAACAGATACTTCAGTTATCTTTAATTTAATTTATTTTATTATTTTTGTTTCCTATTAATATCGATAAGATTATGATTTAATTACTTAGAGTAGCTTAGGTAGGCCTAGTAGAATTTCACTTTGACCTCTTTCTGTCCCAAACCGACCTTTTCGGTCTGGTGTATGAGATAGAGGTTCGTGAGTAAAATCAAGTGATTATTAAAATCCTTTAGTTTCTAATTTATTTGTCCGCCATCCTTGAATAAAAACTACAAAAATGAATTAATTTAATATTATGTAATATGTGTTACAAAGTATTGCGTATTATTTTTAAACCAAATAACAAATATTGTTTAATTTCTATGCAATGTTTACGTATCTGTGTTGCCGGTATCGGTGGTTGAGGCATTATGTAGGCCTACTTCTCGCCCGTGGACTAAGCCTAGGGCCTAGATTGACAAGAATGTCATTATTCAATGTGTTGCTTTAGATATTTATCAATCCACAATTCCTCATTCAGCTGTGTTTGTCGTGGGTGAAATAAAAAGAAAGAACGTTTGTTGAATCGGTCGCGGTAAATGTTGGCTAGGCCTAGCCTAGGCTAGCTAGTATGGTAGGGCCTGAGGTGTATGGGCCTAGGCCTAGACCTCTAGTAGTAGGCCTCTCCAAGGCCTAGGCCTCGTAGACCTAGATAAGTTGGTAGTAAGCCTAACTAGCCCCGGGTAAGTAGCACACCATTTGGGTTAGGCTGCTAGCATAACTGTAACCTCTTCCTCATTCAGGTCAGGATGGGAATTTTGAGATTCTTACTGACAGTCTGGTCACACAAACACTTATTATCAAAAGGCTCAACACTGTAAATTATTTTTTTATATTATTGCATCATATCAAACTTCAAATCATGTTTTTGGTAGTTAGTTGACAAGTTTTGTTGACCCAGACTGGGAGCCCTTGACGGCACCCAGCCACTGTTTGTGCCTTCGGTACTCTTACTATTTTTAATTTCTCAAGGTTGACAGTTATGTATAGTCCAGACCATAAAGTAAGGCCTGAATGAAAAATATATTCTTCGTACAAAGATTTGACCTAGAAATCCTTCCACTCATTTCATAAAAATAATGGACTGGATTCTGCTCCAATTTTGCCAAAGAAAATTGGGCTTTGACTTAATCTTAATATATAAACAATGTATTATGCAGTATTTACAATTCCTGCACACTTATTTTCCTAGCGGTTTTCCAAGCAAATTTGAGCTTGTTTTTGAGGTATCATCCGTGCAAAAATGTTACAGTATGGTATAGAGTGATCATGACCCTTTACAGTATGGTATAGAGTGATCATGACCCTTTACATTTGATGTGTTAAATGTTTTGATACATGATATAGTAACAGTGTTAATATTAAAATCAACCCAAACATGATTTTATTACTGTAGTTAAGATACTGATGCCTTCGCACTTTGCCTTCACAAACATCTGATTATTAAACGGACATTCCAACCACTCCAATTTCGCTGGAGTTACTCCAAAAATCTCAGCACTCCGATTTTGGGTCGAAAATCTCCTCTTTTTATGCATTTTGTGCAGCTGAAATATATCGCGCATTTCCGAATAAAAAGGATAATCTTATGATTTAGATTAACAATTTCGTCGGAGTTGCTCTGTTTATTTAAGCAAAGCTCCGCACTCCAATTTTGGGTCGAAAATATCCGCTTTTTACAAATTTTGGCCAGCTGAAATATATCGCGCATTTCCGAATAAAAATGATAATCTTATGATTTAGAAGTCCACTTAATTTCGTCCTGAAAACAGCTCTCTGAATTGCATACAAAATAGTAATTCGCGCTCTACCGTCTACTGATTTCGATAAACACCAATTTCATTGACCAAATCGCTGTCAGAGTTGCACTCTGAACTGTATACGAAATAGTAATTCGCGCTCCACGGGCTACTGTTTTTAAAAAAAAAAAAAATTTTATTGGCCAAGTTGATGTCAGAGTTTCACTGCACTCTGAAATGTAAAGTGCTCCATGGTCTAATGATTTTGTAACAACAACAGTCTAGTAAAGCACGAATTTGAAAATGGAGTCCGATGAGAGCGATATGGATGCAGGCCTCTAGGCAGTGCTCAGTTTGAATTGAAATCAAAACTACTGTAAATGATGCCTATGGTATGCTCGTTGTGATTGGTGCTGTGTTGATTTTCTGCCTAGGCACGAGATGTTGCTGATTGTGAGTCAAAACGTTTCCTCCAGGAAATATACAAATTGTTTTTGCTTTGTTACTTTCAGGTACAGCCATGAAGACTATCCTGGCAACAAGGTTCGTTGAAGTCCCTGAAAATGGTAAGTGTAATATTCCGTTTGATGGTAATTTTTAGTACTGTACAATTGTTTGTCATGCTTATCCAGTAATATTAATAAACAAGTACTATTTCTGCTTGTGCTGAAAAGCTATACCCTAACCTTGAAAGCATATGATCAGATATATGGTATTTGTGAGGTTTCACCTCAAACTGAAATGCATCGTTGGTATTATTTGCTATAAAACCTGGTTCTCGTATACCTAAATTTTCTATGTTCAACAATGAGACTTAATTTGTGGTGAGACCACATTTATTTGAATGAATACCCTGGGGTGTTTATTGTTGAGAATGAATATTTTATATATGCATCTCTTGGTTTTTAATGTAAAATTCATACCATTATTTTTTTAATTTTTTTTTTATGTGCTTTTGATTGATGTCTGTATTCAAGATTATGAAAATGTTTATAATAATAATAATTATTATAATAATAACAATAATATATGCAATACTTTTTATATTTACTTTTATAACTATTTTAATCAAAGTTCTGCTCAAGAAATAAGATTTTGTATGTTATGAGGGGAACAAAAAAAGTACAATTTGATTTGATATTATAATGACATTTTTCATGTTTTGATATCTAACTTTCTTTAAATCTGTTTGTAACATTCTAATTTTATAAATTTTAGTGACTGTGGCCATCAAAGCAAGGACTGTCACGGTGACGGGACCAAGAGGAACGTTGGTTCGCAACTTCCGACACATGAGAGTGGAGTTGACTGTTGTAGGCAAGAAGATCAGAGTTGACAAATGGTTTGGTACCAAGAAGGAGTTGGCCAGTGTTCGTACCATCTGCACCCATATTGAAAACATGATCAAAGGTGTAACACTGGTAAGTGATGCTATAAACATGCCTTCTGTTAGTGCAGGGTATAATGATACCCTGTATTGTACTATAATCTGTATTCTTATATTGTTATTACTTTAAGACTGGTTTCCTTAAATTCGCTATACTGTCACTATGTTTTTTTGATGCCGTCGGTCTACTATGTAGCAACCCCCACGTAATCAGGAAGGCTCTCTGATTTGACTGACCAATGAGCTTCACCAAAAGCTGTCAGTGATAGCTTGTAGCACTTGTATGGAAACCAAGCAAACAGTTAATTTTTTACCAAATTATTTTTGCTTTGACCTTTGACATAGTCATATGCAGTTGAAACTACAAGAGAGCTGTATTGTTGAGCCCTATCCAGATTATCAAATTTTATTTGATAAAAACTTGTGACATGCCTAATATGGACATGATGTCATCACATCATGATCATATATAGGCACATCATGACTATATATGGACACATCATGACTATATATGGGCACATCATGACTATATATGGGCATACAAAATTTGGTTTCTGCCATTATGCCACTGGTCATTGGCCAATGCACTTTTGTTTAGAATGCAATGGATTGTTTTTAATGAACATCCACTCGGACTGCCTAAACAAATTGGGCTTCTGGTCATCAAGTGCTCAGTAAGCAGAAATTTAAAGGTTAATTATTCAACAAAAAAAAAAACATTATTTCTGTTTATATTCTTCACTATTAGGGGTACAAATACAAAATGAGGTCAGTATATGCTCATTTTCCCATCAACTGTAACATCCAAGAGAACGGCTCTCTAATTGAGATCAGAAACTTCCTCGGAGAGAAATTCATCCGTCGTGTTCACATGAAAGAAGGCGTCGTTGTATCTCAGTCTCAAAAGATGAAGGACGAGTTAATTGTTGAGGGAAATGACATCGAAAAAGTTTCTCAATGTGGTATGCAATATCTATATTTTCTCTATGAATATTCAGTAGGTTACATCAATATTCATAAAGGATCTATGCCAAGAATATACCTTAGAAATAGTATTACTGTTTATTGGCATTTAGTAATGTACAGTACATGTATGGGCCAAATATTGTATTGGTTTCACTAATAAGCGATTAGTATAGTTGAATTCCATACACTGAAAATGCGTAAATGTTGATTAGTGCATGAATGGAAAAATGTCCTTAAAATGATTGCATGATGGTTGACTTGTATTCATTTACCATATTTATTCGAATAAATGCTCCACTTTGAATAAAGATTATATACGACTTTTTACACCAAAAAATAAACGCCTCCGTCAAATAAATTCCCTGAAAACATTATTCACATTTCTGCTTATGTTGTACATTTTATTGTGCATTGTTATATTGTTAATTATAACATTATTCATTTCATTGTTTTAACGCTGTTTTTAATTTCTTTTTTCTTCAGCCGCTTCAATTCAACAGTCGACAACTGTGAAGAACAAAGACATTCGTAAATTCTTGGATGGTATTTACGTATCGGAGAAAACAACAATTGTTAGCCCAGAGGAACAATAAAGAAAGAATTCTTAAGCCTGTTGCCATCAATTCTCTGTTTAATCAACACACAGCCTACACAAATGTCTGTAGAATATAAACAAATAAATAAAGTCACATTGTAAAATTGAAAATTGTTGTCCTGAGCTATTTGTATACGTATTACTGTATAGGCAAAGCTAGGCCTGTAGGCCACATACAGTACAGCAGCAGTTATATTTTGGCCTCCAAAAATAATTAAAAAACCATATTAAAACCATATTTTTACGTGAAGCCCCTAGTTATGGTCTGGTGGCAATCATCTGTAAAAGTAGTATTAAAAACAGAGTATGAAGTTGTATTAAAGCAGTGAACGAATGTCTTTACAAACACATTGTAAGCATTAAATGTTCACCATATAGCATCAGTACTGTCGTCTGCAGCTTTTTGGTGGCCAACTGAGATCTTCATTAAAAAAACAATCTGTTGCACACCCTTCGTCTTGTGTTCTCGATAGAATCGTATCGGCCTATTGTTGTGGCACAGTACCGCGCCCCCCCCCCTCCCTCTCGTAAGATGATTGCTTGTAATTTCCTGAATACTGTGTAAAGATCCTGCAAAGAATGTGGTTTTAACTTGCACCCGATTCACACACTCGACAGGTATACAGGCTTTCAACCTCAAATACCTTTTCAACGTGTATATCTTACACCAGGGGTGAAAATCGGTCGGAGGGCCAAATGAATTTTCGATTTAAATACCGAGGGCTTCCAAAAAACTTAAAGCATTGCTTTTACACCACTTTCTGCCGAGTTTTAATGTTACTTTTTACATATGATTGGTGCTGGGCCGTGAAAAACGGTGTTTTCTAGCCAATGTTGCTTGGCAGGCTGCACACATAGGGTTTTTAATTTCTATTTGTGGGCCGCAAAAGAATCGCCGTCGGGCCGCACTTTGTCCACCTGTGTCGTACACGGACACAATATACAGTACCAGAGAGCTCTTGCTAATTTGCTGTTTTATGCAAACCTAACCCTAAACCTAACCCCTAACCCTCATTTTGAGACAGTTTGAAGAATGTATGTGATCGTGTGTGTGGAAGATGCTCACAGAATTTGTTACTCTTGAGTGATTTTTTTATTTTATAGGATTTATATAGCGCATATATCCAGAAAACTACTCAAGGCTCAAGGCATTGGGTACAGACTTAACACGACACCTTCACAGCTACCCGGGAATTATTCCTAGTTATGCGTGTAATCAGCACTACTAATTTCATTCCAAGTCATTCACATCCTACCAGGTACCCATTTATACTCCTGGGTAAAGACAGGCAGATGAAGGTCGAACCCCGACGTTCCAATTGATAGTCCAACGTCTCATACTGCACCACATGCAACTACCTTAGTATTGTAGATTATTGGTAAAGATGCTTGCCTTGTAATTCGAGGGTCCTTGGTTCAATTCCTTTTAGGTCACAGGATTTTACATCCCCACTACGAAATCTGTTTAATAAGCAAGTGTTGTTGGTTCTTATGCTTTCAAGCAAAGGAACCTTTAGGATACCCTTTGTGTGTATGTATGTATATAGCATGTATGTTACGCTGTTTTTTGTAAACAGGCAAAAGTGACTTTCCAGATATCTGTTCGTTACAAACGTCCGTACCCAAGCAAAACTGGATATGACGTCGTGCCCTAATTAATAATTTTTTATTTCGACAAATATTAAAGCCATCACTAATAAAAGACAATTATACCCCCAACCCTTGAAAAGACTAGTAAACTGTATGATAAGAGGAAAACATTTATGTAATGTTGTTTACTTTCATTGTCCAACTGTCTTAAATGTGATGGATTGACAGAAAACTTTATCTACACTCCAAAAACTTTAATTTTATACTGTGGCTTAGATAAGATTCTACAGACACAGCAGTGTTGTGGTTTGATAAAGTCAAACTTTATATTTGGATAGGGTAATCCTTTTGCAGCTTCTGTCAGAAGCTAGACTACATGTGTACAGTACGGTATAGTGAAACCATTGTTGTCTCCG